AACCTGAGAAGAGAATTTTTTAATTTGCCGTTTTGTTTAACAATCCACGGTTTTGCGGCAAAAAACCCTTAAAATTTTAAATGTTTCAAATTTTTTTAAAAATTTTTTTAAAAAAAATTTACCTTTAAGGTTTTTTTTTAAAAACCGTATCGTTGGGGAAATACATGTTTTGATTTTCTTAGTTTAAATTTTAAAATGGGTCTTGCATTTGTACTTTTTAAGTCAAATTTCTTTTATAATATTTTTTCTTATTATTCAAAAATTAAATAATATTACTCTATGAAAATGAAAATGAATTTTCTTTCCAATTTTAGGGTTTATTTTTGAGCCTTTCCCCCTTTCACTCCTATGGGAAAACCCAACATAAAAAAATCATTTGTTGAAACGAAATAAGATTTTTGCAATTTTAAAATTTCCTTTTTTTTGGGGTTTTTTGTTGTGTCTTCTTTTTAACTGACCCCCTTTTCGAAGTTTTTTTAAATTATGGCAAAATGCCCTACGGGCAAAAAGAAAAAAGGGAAAAAATTTTTTAAACCCAAAAAGGGGACAGGGAAATACATCCCCCCCTTTTTGGTTTTTTCCTGGGGTAAAAGGATGCGTGATCCCCCTGTTTTAGATTTAAAATTGGGTTTTTTAAAGGATTGGTAAAAAATTTGGAATGACCCGGCGGGTTAGGGGAAAAAAAACCGATTTTCCGCAGCAGTAAAATTTGTGGGGTTTTAAACCCTTCACTGTCCCCAAAGGGAAATTTATCACAAAAAAGGTTTCTGTCCAAGGTTATGAAGCAAAAAAAAAAAACCCTCCCTTCGACAAAACTGATGGACAAAACCCTCCCGGGTAAAAAATTAAAACTTTTTCTCCAAAAATCTCCAAAAAATTTTGGGAAAAAAAATGAAACCAATTTTTTTTAAAGGAGTGAGTCTTCTTTTTGCAATAATGGTTTGTTTTCCCTGAATTAATTTTTAAATTCATTCGTGATCTTTTAATATATTTTTTTTTAACCCAAATTCTTTCGAAAACCTTTATATTTTTTTTCAAACCATGGCGAGTTAATAAAACCCCGGATCCCAAATTTTTGTTTTAAAAATTCATGATAATAAGGAACTTTTTTTTTAACTTTTCAAAAAAAAGAACTGAATTAATTCCCAAAAAATATACAAAAAAAATAGAAAATTGGGCCCCTACAAAACTATTCATGGCTTCTCGTTTTAAAGTGAAAAAACCCTTTTGCTTTTTTGGATAGGAAAAATTTATCAAAATCTTTTAAAATTGTACACTTATTTTAGGTTTTTTTGTAGACTAATATCGATATTAATACTTTTTGCAAAAGGGGTTAAAAAATTTTGCTTCCCGGAAAAGTTAAATGGGAAACTTTTGGGAAATTTTGTGTAAAAAATTTCCTGAAAGATCAAAACCCTTTTTTTGTTTTTAAAAAAATTTGTGGAAAGAAAACAAAATGACCCTTTTTGTGAGGAATCAAAACACTGAGTACTTGTTACTGTTACAGATAAATTTTAGAAATCATTTTTAAAAAATGTGGGTTCCAGAAAAATACCTTTTTCTATAAAATTTTAAAATTCAGCAAACTCCCCAATCTTTATCAGGTACAGCCCATCAGGAAATCTCCCGAAAGGGTTGGGCCCAAAAATTGCCAAAAACCCTATCTTTACCCTTTTCCCGGCCAATTAGAAAAAGAGGGTGTTGTTTTGAAGTAGTTTTCCCGAAAAAATTAAAGCTTTTCCCAAACTATCCAAAGAACTGCCTAAAGTACAGAGTTTCTTATCAGGTCTTCCCCATGAAAAAAACTCTTTCCTTTAAAGGTGCACTTTCTTCAAAACGAAAGGGGCGGGATAAAACCCAAAATTTTTAAATGCGGGTTTTAAAAGTTTCAAAGGGGATTTTCCCTTTTTAAATTTTTTTTTTAAAATTTTAACCCCTTTTTTCCTTCAAATTTTTTTTTCAAATTTGGGGAAATTCTTGGGAGGGGGCCCCCAACCCTCCCAATTTTTGTTGTAAAAAAATTTTTCAATATTTGTTAAATTTTAAAGTCTAAAAATGTAAGGGAAAGCTTACCCTTTTTCAGTTGTCCCTGTTATTTTTATGTTTTTACTGTTTTTTTAACCCGGGTAAAAGTGTGGGTTTGAAATTTTCTGTAAAATTAAAATTCCTATCTAGATTCAAGGGGGAGTGATTTTGAGCTTGCTAAAAAATATAGTTAATAGTCGTATTTTGTTGCCACTAAGACCCAACGAAAAAAGATTTTTTAAATTTTACAAAAATTTTTTAAATTGACAATGTCACCATGAAAATTTAAAGAAAACGGGGGTTTTGCTAAACACAAGGGTTTCCTGTTATTTTTTGGTTCTAAGATTAAAAAACAAAAATTTTTTTTATTTAAAAAAATTTTTTGTTGTCAATAGATAAATCCACACGAGGGAAATATTTAAAGAAAAAGTTATGAAAATTTTAACTGGTTTTCGTGTATATCTTTTTATTGTTGGGTTTTTACTTTAGATCAGCACTTCTGACATATTGTCAGTGCATGATAAAATCGGATAAAGATATGTTGGCCGCCCTACAATTATTGTAAACATCACCAATGTCTTTCATGTCACCATTCTACAATGCACAACATTTGTTTCAATGGTATGCATTGCTTACTTGAAGAACACCTGAACTTCCCAGCACAAGTTAACGTAATGAAGCCTCTGAAAAGAACAAAGATGACGGATGTACAGAAAAAAAAATATTAAACTAAAAATTTTTTATATTGATAATCACAATTGTCATCGCTAAGATATAACCCACCTAATGAATAACCTCCGATTTGAAGAAATATTAAAAAAAGCTAAACTACTGTAAACTGCATGGAAACTTGGCTGGGGTTCGTAGATTAAAGGGTCAATAACGTTCTATCTAACATTAATTATGCACAGCTTGTCAAATTATTTTGTTACAGAAAAAAATGTTTTTTATGCCACCGCAGCATCTGCGATGCGGTGGCATATAGCGATTCACCTGTGTGTGTGTGTGTGTGTGTGTGTTTGTTTGTTTGTGTGTGTGTGTGTGTGTTATATAGATTATATAGTGAACTTAAAAAATCTTCTTTGTGAAAAAACTACTAGTCCAATTCAACCAAACTTGGCAGGATTGATCCTTGGGTGAAGGGCTTCCAAAGTTGTTCAAAGAATTTAATTCCATGCAGAAATCTGGTTGCCATGGCAACCAAAAGGAATTATAAGAATAAATTTAAAAAATCTTCTTGTAAAGACCCAAAAGGGCCTAGAGCTTAGATATTTTGCATAAGGCATTGTCTGGTAGACCTCTACCAAGATTGTTCAAATTATAGCCCTGGGGTCAAAATCGGCCCCGCCCGGGGGTCATTGATTTTCACTATATGTACATATAGTAAAAACTTAAAATACCTTTTTGTAAAGACCCATAGGCTTAGAGCTTAGATATTTTGCATAAGGCATTGTCTGGTAGACCTCTACCAATATTGTTCAAATTATAGCCCTGGGGTCAAAATCGGCCCTGCCCTGGGGGTCATGGATTTTCACTATATGTACATATAGTAAAAATTTAAAATACCTTCTTGTAAAGACCCAAAAGGCCTAGAGCTTAGATATTTTGCATAAGGCATTGTCTGGTAGACCTCTACCCAGATTGTTCAAATTATAGCCCTGGGGTCAAAATCGGCCCGGCCCCGGGGGGTCATTGATTTTCCTCATATTTTACATAGTAAAAAACTTATAGTAAAAACTTTAAAAAAAAATCTTCTAGCAATTGACAAATGCTACAGGTTAGATACTTTGCATGAAACATTGTGAAGTGAACCTCTAGCAAGAATGTTCAAATAATAGCCCTGGGGTCAAAATTGCCCCCGCCCCGGGGTCATTGATTTCAATATATACATATAGTAAAAAATCGAAAAAAATCTTATTGTCTGAAGGTACAAGGCTTAGAGCTTTAATATTTGTTAAATGATATCATCTATAGTACTCTACCAAAGTTGTTCAAATTTTGCCTCTAGTGTCAAAATTAAAAAGTGAACTTTGATATCAGCTGACCTAGATTTTGACAAAGTGTATTACATGTTGTCCTTTGATGCAGTCATGAAATTTTAGGCTGTGTGAAATATGACCTTCACCACCAAATTCACTAGACTCAAGTGCATTGATATATTCCTACTCTGATCTTTTATTGAGTTAACAATAGATTTAACCACTAATCTGATAATAAGAATTAGATATGCATTATGACAATCTTCAATTGTATAGAAACAAAAAAAATATGTTCCTACACTACTATTTAGTGTTGTATTAATGTGGTGGCATAGCATTTTTCTCAAATGCAATCTTGTTTTTTTTTTAATTATTTAAGGTATTTGATGGCTAAATAAATCTAACCTTTTAAAAATAAATAAAAATATTGTACCTAATATTTTAAAAGTCTCATACAATCGAAACTATTTTAGATTATGCTCTCTACGTAGGAAAAGTTTCAAACAAGGGTTTAAAACGGGTGGGAAGGATGAAATATTAAGTTTATACAAATGAATTTTAGTTTCGATTGTGTTTATTGAAACACTTTCGAAGCCATTCCTGGACCCAACCAGCACTTAGCAATGGATTTCAGGGTTCTTGTTCAAAGAAACAACAACCTGCCCCTGAAAGGGTTTAAACCCACGCGCTCAGCAATCTTTAGTTTAGATTATTAGTCCGACGCGTTAACCACTAGGCGACACCATCACTCTATTTATAAATACCTCAAACATTTTGAGGAGAAAAACTAATTTTGCGTGTGTGATTGTTGGCTGAATGCTTTTATGTGTTTTGAACAATAAACACTAGAAGAAATATTTTGTCGTGGGTATGATATAAGTTAGACAAAGCTTCAACAGTTGTGAAAAAGGGTCTGTCTTATTTATACGTATGTATCCAATCTAGTTCTTTTGTTTAAATGTATTAACTTCTAACTTTAAGAATAGGTTATCTCTTTCACTCACCTGTACATATTTCTGGAAATCTCCTGAATCCAGTCCAATACAGAGACCTCCATTTACTGATATGAATGTCTTTTACAAATTTGTATTTATCATCTTTATAAAGTGAAGAACTGAAATCTTTTACCACCCGATATATTGAAAACACTGGCTGTGAGAGATTGGACAATGCTAAACTGGAAACAACTGCTGATTCATTACTATTCTGAAACACAATAACACCTCTTCTTTCTGATTTGCTAAAGTGCAGCCTTTTAACAAAGTCTCTTGCCATTGTTTTATACTTGCATTCAGTTTTTCGTATTTGATTAACACGTTCTACTCGTATTTCCAACAACCTAAAGGTAATGTCAAAATCCACCGATACATTCAGACTCTTAAAATAAAATAATCTCACAATACTATTCTTAGTGTTTGTAAAAAATTGTTTAGCTAAATGTACTGCTGTTTCTCCGATTTCGGGGTCTCCATCTTCCACAAATAAGATAACTTCTCTATCCGAATCTGTACAAGCTGAAATAAGAAATAAAATAAAAAAAATGATAAACAAGAAATATCTTTGAAATAGACAAGCGTGAATTCAGTATTATGTTAGATGCCTTATAAATTTAGACTGATACCAAAGCAAGTTATGGAATGAATGGTAAAAAATATTAATTATTTACGATCTCAATACTAGTAGTTCTATTTTTATTTGGATTTTTGTAATATAGTTGAACGGATAACTTAAATATACATAGCATTAAATTTTCTTTTTGAATTATTTTTTGTCCTTATTGACAGTAAGCCCATTATTAAATCTAGGTTCGAGCTGTTTGGAAACAACTAAATGTAATGAAACTGTTAAATTGAATTAACTTTTGAGTGGATACTGGGTTGTCAAAGATTGTTCAAGTATAGAAGCGGTCAAACCATGAAATATATACAAACTTGAAAACAAGATGCAATTCCAAAAGTTAAGAATTATGGGTCCCTTGTTTATTACCCTCATTTGTCTCTGACAAGTCATTTAAATGTAAAGGTTTAAACGCAATAATCTTGAGGTTCTTGTTTGTTTTCTGTACGGAATAGTTACCGCACGAGGAATATGTTTGCAGGTTTAGCTACAGGCCTTTTGAAATGTATAAATAAAACTGATTATTTTGTAACATACACTTTAATTTATTATAAAGTAAGGTAAACAACACAAATTTTCATACAGTAACGCCGATCAAACATATTTGTTTTATAATATGGACAACTCAATGAGACAGACAATACAAAAATGGTGTTGAATTTAGTAATTATGAATTTTAAGAACTTACTACAATCTTGTTCGTCTTCTCCTCCAGGACATTCAATATGTCCATCACAAAGAAATCTCTGTTCAATGCAGTAACTGTCAGGACATTTGACTGTATTTTCAGGGCAAAGGATTTTTTCTAAAAATGAAATTTTGTGATAAAATCTCAAGCAATTACTTTTGATCGTGTATCATTTATAAAAGTTGTGAATGACATATATTTTTGTCACTCATTGTTACCTGTAAAATGAAAACACGACAGATTAAATTTAGACTATGAAAGTTGTTATGCATGACATTACTATTATTAATACCTTAATATAAAAAAAGAGTTTGAGCTATCAAACACAGAATGATATAAATTAAAAGGGTAATATGCCAGTCAGTTGAATCACTTATCAAAATGCAAAATCGCGAATGACTTCAAAACTAACATATACAAGAAATAACGGATAGAATAGTAATGAAATCTACCACATACACCACGGCGAAGGAATGTAATAAGGCAATTTAATAAAAACGATATTACTCTAGTGTAATAACACTTTGACTTAGCGCTCAAGAATCACTATTTGTAATTTTAATCGATCATATTTTGAATATGTGTTAATTCGTGTATATCCAATACTAAATGTATTGAATGACACAATATTATGCTCGCCACAGGTCGCGTAATATAATTTATTCAGTTCGTTCAATAAATTCAGTTCATTAAACATCTATCTCGCCTAAGACAATATCTGTTAAGCACTTAAATTGCCATGATGTATATGCTTGTACTAGTTGTACTTTTAATTTTAAAAAGTTACTTCTTGATTGAAAGGCTTAAACTGAAAGCAATTGTAGACAGTTTTAGTATGTGTGTGTTTTTTCCGTACATAACACGAGGATCCGAGAGGATTTTAAAAAGAGGAGTTGCAAGAAGTCAACAAGAGATAATTCATATTTAAAGGGGTGCGGGAAATGGGGTTCAGGACAGATGATATTTTTCTTGTTCACGACAAACAGTCATGAGTCGAAATTTTGATTATCCTTACTATTTTTGCGTTATTGTTTGCTATCAAACGAACATTGCTTTCCAAATTTTAGAGGAGATGGGGGCGTCATGTCCCTCCTAATTCCCATCTTGAGCAGTGTAAGCAAATGATTATCGCCGAGCGAGGAATTACTAAAAATGAAATAACTATTAACCTTGTTTTAGATATAGCCTATATTTCATGCGGTCAATAACATACCTGAATGCAAAATGCATGCTCGCAATTCCAGCGTGTTACTGTGTCTCGCTTTTCGGTGACAGTATAATATTTTCTAAATGGACGATTATTTGTGGGAAGACGTGTAGATGAATTTTATTTTTAATCAGTTCATATATTAATAAAATCAATATAATTACTTTGTTTGTTCTTAATGTTTTGAATTATTAATATCTTTTAAGTAATATTCTAAAACCTTAAATCCGTTTTCAGTTATGGATATAATTTTGAATATTGTCAACGATTTCAGTATTGATTGTTACAATAATTTCTTGCTGTGACACCCTAGTATATTTTATTTTAGTTTAATCTATGACAAACGGACACAAAAGATGAAAACTGACTATAATCTTAATACCTACGATACTTAATTAAGTCATAATAAAGATGGTGTTTTGAAAATTTAGAAAAAGAATCATATTAGAACTAAAGATTTGATATTTATTTGAATTACCACAATTTTGTAAATGGTCCCCAGATCTACATCCAGTCATGTAACCGTAAGCATCTACGGAATAAATACAGACCATCGACTCTGGTATGATTTTGTTATCTCTTTCACATTTAAACCAATCACCAAACACGCTTGCATTGTAATCTTAAATAAAATAAATCCAAAATTTATCTTGAATAGTAAAAATGAAATCAAAACAACAAGTTGACAATATGCAATTTATTTATGTAAAATCATAAGAAATAAAAGAACATATCATACTAGTATGTCACAAAGGAACAGTGCGTCTTACAGTAGAAAATATCGCCCGACTCTCAGTCAAGCGTACTACCTATCCGGACTGTTCCTTGCCGCTCTGTCAATATTGTATAATGTATTTGCATGTGGATAAAACTGCATCAAACTTAAAGAATGTCCCGCGTACATATATGATCGGGACAAAATTCATATTAAACGATCTGATGTGATTATAAATTGATTGAAAGCACAATTTTGACTACTAACCAAGTGAATAATGAGCTAAGTTATTATTTTAGATTTAACGGGCATCTGATTTTCAGTTGGAACTTGTGTTTGAAAATTACAATTCCGATGAAAACCAAAAATAAAAAAAAAACTGTTTTGGATCTTGAAAGCTTTATGACAAGTGTCCTCATTAATTATAAGAGTCACTCATACCGTAAGTGCAATAAGGAAGCCCAACCGTCAAGTCCATGTCTGAAAAAACCTTTGGCCAAGTAAACGTCTCTAAATCTCTAGTGTTCTGTATATTGTTATAAACATTACTTTCATCAGGAACATGCAATTCTGCAATGTCACTTCCATCGCATCCGGTTACCGAATTTATATTCAGCTCGTGATAAGGGTAACAATGTCTGAAAATTTAAATATTACAGCAACACTTTTAAATTAACAAATACTAATGTTCCTATCCTTAGACATTTTTTCAAATATAAAAATATAAAATAGCCGTTCATATGTTAAAAGAATTCTATTCGAAGAATTACTGTTCGGGAAATAGTATTTGTATTTTATTGTAATTTATCGTTAAATCAGAATATGAACGTGTATACATTCAGAAAAATATCAGGAGGATAAGGGCGAATAATGTGTTTGTTACATATTGTAAACGCCTATTCATTTTATGGACTTAAAATCTGTTATCTATTTTTTCACGTTCTAAATGCCTTCTCAACAACTATATTGTTGTTATCTGGAAGCATTATATCTAAAGTTCGATATAAACGATCATGATCAAAATTTATAGAATGAGAATTAATAGAATGTTCAAAATTATGAGTTGAGAATAAAAATGGCGGCTTACTAGACTCAATGTAATTGTAATACTGTATTGAAATATAAATTGCATTATTAATTTTGCAAACCTATTGTTAACAATTATATATAGTTGTACGACGCAAGAAATGGTCTTTTTTTAAAACCAAATAGTATTATTAAAATCTGACAAGAGTTTATTAGATAAAACAAATGAAATAAAATTACGAATTTTCAAATTAATGTAAATACTTTAAGTGAAAATACATGTATAAATTATTCTCATACGTTGACAAGGTTTGAATAAAATTAAATAATTGGAATATACTTCATTAAAGGTTCTCCTTTGCGGAATGTTCCAATTGTGCAAAGACAGGACGGAAATGCGGAATCACTATTGTTATTGTCAATAAGAGCTGCTTCACGAAATCTGAACTTGCAATCATTTCGTACCTGAGATAAGGTAATTACTATATTACATAAATACAAATAATGCAAAACAGCAAACATGTTTTATTTATATATCCCCTGACATAAATTAAAATCATTTCATTGAAGCTAAGGCAGAACGGATTGAAATAAAATTGTTTTGCAACATTGAACTGTTTTAAATGTTGTTTTAAAATAAATTAATAAAATATGTTAGATTATTTTAATGAAGATACTCCTTAGGTTTTTTAATGAAGATACTCTCACACAAAAAATTTCAAAGACATTGAATGACTTTTACTTGAAAAATCACAATTATATTAATATATATATCAATTATATTAACTTTTCCAATAACTCTCGTATTCACATGTTCTTGTAAAACGCTACATTTGAAAATAAAAAGTGCACAAGGATGCATGTGTTAAATGCACTTACCTCAACAAAACAAGAATAGCTCGCATTAAAATCATCAGGAAAAAAAGCTGAATCCAATTGAAATAAGCACTGTCTAGAATACGTTATTCTACCAGATTCCTTTTCTTTCTTAACGAAATCCCATGTACAGTGCTCTGAGGAAAAAAAATTACTTTAACCTTATTGTTTACTAAGGCAAGTTATCGACTTCAGTAATTTGTTGTATTTATACTAGAAGTAGTCAATAAGAAATGATAAATGGTTTTCCACAACTTAACAAGTATACCAAGTTTACCTGCTTCTCTACATTAAAATACAAAAGTGCAAAATACAATTTCGCTTGCTCATTTCAACAAATCATTTATAAATCATATGAGCCATTTAAAAGATTTTTTTTCAGATAAAGGAAAAGGAAAAGAACCAGAACTTTCAAAATGCAACAAAACTACAACCACGTTGATATTGATTTAAATTTAAGTCACGCTGTTAATTAACATTTGTATTTCCGACACTAAATAAAGAATTTATGAAAATATTGATATTGATAAAAAGCATTAATCTAATCATTAATCTAAGTCATCTACTTACTGTCAGAGAGTTTTCCTGGAAGGTATTCAATATTGAAGTCATCGGTCGTTGGAATCAAACCTATGCAATTCTGTTCATCACTATTATCCCTACAGTCAGGGTAATTATCACACGTCAGTCGATCAGGAATACATTTGTACTCATCAACACAGAGAAATGAATTTCGGCAGGAGTCTGGAAGTGTATTATACAAAATCTTAGAAATACATTTCTAAAACATGCAGTAGTAAAAAGACATTTTCATTGAATATATTAAGACACAGTTTAAAAAGTACAAAATATTATTATTATTACAAGTGGTTGTGTGGCTTCTATAACGGATAATATATGTAAACTTAAATAAAAGTAAAATTAATGCATATGTTTGTTTTTGTTGCGTAATAGTACGGGTAATCTCCATTACAATATCCATGTGACATTTGGTTATTATTATAACCGAAGTAAGTATTTAATAAATGTCAGGGTTTATATAGGGAAAAAGATATGTAAGCGACCGGATATAAAATATAAAAAATATTTTAAAGCGGTTGTATAAAATTCATATTCTAATTTAACAATGTTCTCTGCACCCCTCATAAGTTTGATAATGAATTTCATTATAGCAGGACAGTATGTAACGTTCAGAATTGTTCACTATTAAGGGGAGAAGATGTGGAAGAAGCCGGAAGGCTCAGCCAGTAGGGGTGCGGTACGTTATTCTGAGTGTCGCGAGTTTGATTTTCGGTCGGTCTGCACTTTTTTCTAACCCGCCGACATAAATACATTAAATATAGCCACTTACATAATTTCATGTCATATTAGAATTGTACTTCAGAACTTTGACGTGCACAGGTACAAACAATTATTATGGTTTAAAAAAACAAAGTTTTCAATTGATACTGTACCACAAAGTCATATACAAACCACAATTTATTTCATCGCTATTATCAAAGCAGTCATATAGAGCGTTACATTGATTGTCTGCTGTAATGCATTGTCCATTTGTACAACGAAATTCATTGACATCACACATGCGGTAATCTAAAATCATTTTAATATTCAGTTGAAATGAAAAATAAACATGTTACCCAGTTACTTATAGTCTGATTTTATTGACCTGTCAATTTTGAATACATTATAGCACTCATTTAAATATTCGATTTCACTTCGGTTCTGTCCGTGTAGTTTACGAGAATTAATATGGAGTAAAAAATAAATATTTTGAAAAGTCACACCAGCTTAATGCTTAGGCCTGCCAAATCCGCGATAGCACAGACGGTAGAGTAATAGTCTAATATACTGGGGGTCTGTAGTTCGATCCCTACTTTTGTTTGCCGTTGTTTTAAGGCCAACTCTTTTTTTTATTTTTGCAGTATATTTTCATGAAAATGGCCGAGTGCTTCCAATATTGTCTACACATATATGAATCAACTAAGAAATATTGTCTCAATTTGTTTTGTGTTTAACGCCATTGAAACGACATTTTCTAATTTTAATCCGAATTCATTATGAATTTTAATTATGAAAGCATGTTATTTAAAAGGAGTTTAATTGCTAAATATATTAAATCAAAACGAACAACATAACAAGCAATTATAGTTCCGATAATATTGAATATAGTTATAAGGAGAAGAAAAAAAACCCTAAAAACATTGGAGGAACGCGGTCTCGATCTCACAACACGTAGGACAGTTAGAAATCATTAACCTGTAGCTTACCCTATTTCGCTATACCGCACAGTATAATTGCTCCATAGGCACAAATTATATTTAATCAAATCTCACTGAGTACATCTCACGGAAATTACCGAAAATCTTTCGAAGATTTATATATTGTGTGCATTGACCGTGTAATTAGTATGGAATTGACAGGTTAATAAAACCAGACAATACACAGGTTAAAGCGTCCTCACGATTAAGCAAACAAAATAAATTTGGGTACTTCGGGTATTAGCCAAAAAGATTAATGTTGCACAGAAAGTAGAGACTATGTACAGTGGTCAATGAACACCTAAATGAACAGTAACCCGTGACAGTATGGAAGGTTGAGGTAGCGCTGATATATACTATCTGCCTTAAAACCAGCCACTGCGTACTATCATTACAGACACTAACAGTAAAGACCCGGGACATGTCGCCATTAATGTCTGTTAAGGTTATATTTTGCATATAACCCTTTTATCTTGAGTTATGTATTCATTGAATTATACTAAATATGTACGGCAGTCTATTTTTATTATGTTTATTTTGACATATGGGACGACAATGAGATCATTATATGATGTACAATAAGGTGTTGATGTCAAAATCAATAATCATATCTTTCGGATGATCTTCACTGACTGATAAGGTTTTGAAAACCTGTGAAATGTAAATGATACTATTATATAAAGTATGAGTCTGAAAATGATATAGACTATTTTATTTTGTTTGCCTTTTCATTGAAGTAAGCTTTAGTCAAACGGGACTTGTCTTCATTATATATCATACTTCACAGAAAAAATAAGGCTCGCTCATATGACTATATTTGTTTACACTCGCTAGTTGTTTGAGACACGAATGTAAGGTACATTTTGCAAATTTTAGCTACACAAATCTTTCGGGGTTTCACTTTCTTATATCAACGGCATGAAAGTGTATGCTTCTCGAATGTCGCCCGCATTTCCTGCGAAATATCTCATAATTTTCTCAAATACGTATGTGGCAAGAATATCGCTCGATACCTTTTTTGGCATCTTTTCGGCATGATACGCGCGAAATTTATGTAAAAACGACAGTTATGAAATGTAATAAAGACAAAAGAAAAGTCAGATTAAAATAAAAGCAAATTCGAATTCCAGCGGTCAGGCATCATTTGAAAAGGACTAACCATTGGATTTGAACCCTAATTTTGTTGCAGACGACAATGTCATTTTGAAAGTTACAGGATGTCTCATTGCTGTTGCTGCAGTCTAAAAAGTCGCAACAAAGGCCTGAGAGCGACGAAAGTGAAGATTAGGATATAAAAGAGTGTGTGATTGAGGGAATTGCTTTTGATGGGACATAAGTTTGGGATGTATGAGGAGCTAATAAAGCACCTTTGAGAAATAATTGTGTTAGTGTAGTCGACCCGCAATCACTCAGCATAATGGTGGAAGATTTAGATCCTAGACATCAAAAGAGAGAAAGAAACTTCACTTATCCACTCCTATCACAAGGAGCAATCCATTTTTCAACTACAGAAGTTGTTATTATGTTAATTTTGCCATCTATTTTGCTGATTATGATGCTGAATTATTTTATGTGCGTCGTACTGTAAGACTGTCTCCGTTATTTATGTGTAGGGCTATACTGCAGGTAGAGTTTTTTCCTTTACATCGAAGGGGCATATTAAAAATTGAATTTAATTAAAAAGATTAAGGCGCGAGAAGAAGAAGTTTGTGTTTAACGCGTTAAGCCACAAATAGCAGCATTTGCTGCCGGGTACACAACCCGATCACCAGTCATTCCATTAAAGGCTTATTTTGAAGAACAAAGTGATGATTATTGAACTTCGTGAAATTTCCGTAGCGTATTAGCCATGAAGATAACTTGAAGGCATTGCACACCATAACATGCAGTTACCCCAGACAATTTGAAAAGTTAAGAGAGCCCTTATAAGCACGTAAGTACCAACCATGTATGTAAGTCGTCATCTATGTCTTAAAAAATATAATCTGCCAAAAGGTAGCATTTCAATTTTGAATCCATTATTTCTCTGAATAACACGTAAGTCGATTATTTGTTGTGTTTACTATTTTATCAAAGTGAGGTCAATAAGACCATTATATGCATCATGCAGATAACTAATGTCTTGCTGCCAAAACAAATGATCATATCTTTCGGACGGGCTGATAAAGATGTGGAGATGTGATAAAGATAAGGACTGGTACCCGACACATGTATTCGGTTAGCATGACTGACAGTCTTTCCAGTTTTTCACAGACGAATGTTGAATGAAATTTAAGAAATATAATTGTTGAAAGGTTCCCTTTATCAATTTTGTATATAATTTATAAAGACACCCCTAACAGTTGAAATATGAATAACCTTATAATACATAGTAAGAGTGATCATGATATATAGAACATATGAATATATTTGTTTTGCCTTTCCAATGAAGGTAACTTGAATCACACGGAGGCTTGTCTCCATTCTATGTCATTCTTCACAGATAAATAAAGGTTGGATAAAATGACTGTATCTGAAAGTTTGGGACCAAGTGCCGTCCATATTCTTAAGAAAATGTCTCAAATGGGCTCGCAAAGAAAAAAGAGAGTTTATTTTTTAATGGCTTTAGCTTGTCAAACTTTTTGGGACAGGGCTTTATTCAGTTTTCGGCATTCTTAAGGGCCTTAAAGTGTCCAACTTTATATCATCTGCTGCTATATTTCCTGGAAACCACAAAGAGAACGATTTGCGATAGGTTTGCAATCTATGATTCTGTGAATATATTGAGAGAAATTAAGTCAACAGATTTTTTTTATCAAAATATTGACGTCATGCGACAAGCAAACGGCGGATTGCGACTCGTGCGACGAAATTAAGAGCTTTCGAGACATTTTTTTAACTATCTCGTGAATGCAGTTCGCAAACATGTCGCTCAAATTTGCAGCCCAGTATTACAGGGGTACGAGCAAATCTTTTTAGATTTTTTGCGAATCTTTCGGAAGTAATCTGACTCGTACTGGTTGGAAGAATATTAGGGTGCAATGTTCAAATACGTTTAAATTGATTGATTGGGATTTCAGTACGAGTCGAAATAATTTTTGTTTTAAAAGGGGAGTTGCAGCTCAAAAGCCCTTTCAATTATTCAGGCACAAGCGGGTACCTGAGTAGAAACACCGACTTCCCTGAACGTAAGGGGCAAATTACTGTAAGTTACCCCCTATATGCCTTAGTAAGATATATTTTTAACTTTTTATCGTGTCAAAAATGCTTGTTTTTGGGTAGGATTCATATCAACAATATTTATAGCATAAATATTATATAATGTTTATCACTGAATTGGATTTTCCTACCGCAGATTTCATCTGTACCGTCCGAACAGTCTGTTATGAAGTCGCAAACTAGATTCGGGTGTATACAATGTCCACCATCACATGAAAATTTATAGTCACCACATGCTACAGAATTTTAAAGGTTATAATAAAACAAGAATTGTTTTGTTTGTTCTTTATAATTTCATTGCAAATCCAACTGCGTTTTCCGAAAGCAGATAATTATAATAACACAGTTAATGTTTACGGTACTGTAACAGTTCAATATCATAATAAATAGCACTTGAACCATCAAATAATCAACAAATATGATAAACACAAGGCATATCGTGATGACATATTTTCGTTAATTTGAATACTATAGTTTAAAAAAACACAAACTGAAATACGAAAAATACAAATAACAGAAAATTGACAAAATAAATAGTGAAATGAGTGCTTAAGTGACTAAATAGCAAGACAAACAAATACCACTATTGTTCTGCAAACACATGACTTCGTCCGAGGCATCAAGACAATCGATGACGTCATCACATTTAGCTAATGAAGATATCCACTCCTTGCTTTTTTCACAGCGGAAAAACGCCTCGTGTTTGAGTCGGTTTGGTAATAGAGTGTTTATCATTGTTTTGCCAGTATTCGTTAGAGTGTGATCTAAACAATTACCATAACAATATTTTCAGACACAATCATGAAAATAATAATAACATTATAGGATGTTCTCTTTGTATCATTCCAAAATAATCAATATTGTTTATTCGATAACATATTTGCCTTTTCACTAAAGGGACGTGTGGTTCGAGTAAATCTAATATATATTAATAACGAATACATCTGATGTCTTGAATAGACCGGCACGATACCGTTCGTGTTTAAATATACAAGAGAGGAACAAAAGAAGAGTGTCTAATGTTTCGTGCCTTTTGTATTTTAATTATTTTGAACTTATTTTGTGAATTTATCTTCATCACTAGCGTAGTAGCTACCTGACATCTGACCGATTACTCTTAATCATCTTAGGGATAATACAGACTGAAAGTAGTAACACCACGTTACTTCAGATGTTAAATGTATCAAATACAGAGGGTGTAGTTTTTTTGTATAATGAGACATTCTAATGTTTTCTCGCCATCCAACATTTATACGGTATAACTGAATAATCTAAATCAAGAAATTCAAGCATTAACTTACTACAGGACATATTCGAACAATTGCTACAGTGAAAATTATAAATAACGCAGACAAGGTTTTTGAAGGAACTGTAAACCTCCGATATATCTATGTTGTAATGCTTTCTTGTTTGTATGTAAGAAATGATTAGCAATTTTTGCATGCTTTATCGAAACTGAACAGGTTTTGTTTCACACTCATTAGCAGCTCTCCAAATGGATATTAAAAAGTTGAAAATCAGGCACCAACCGTTAGTGCAACACAATTATTAGAATCTTATGGATACATTTTGTGAAATGATGATAAAGCAAGCCATTCTTCTCACAATGGTGATTGTTTTAGTCTTAATGCGATGATACCGCCATTGGCTAAACGTTATATGTAAAAGAGCAGATGAAAAAGTTATATTATAAGTTTTTTTTCCTTCTCAAAATGATAGAAAATGACACTTGTTAGAAGTCGAGTTTTAAGAATTTCTTATTAAACTACAACACTTCCTTCTGCTAATGTATTTGTTGATCAAAAGAAAGAAGGCTTCAAAGAGATTTGTGAAATGTAAGTTGTTTAGAATATTTCTGTCATTAAAAAGGAAAACACAAAACAATGTAAATGGTCAACGAAAGTAGTATATACTGATCTATTCTTGGTCAACTGTAAGACGTTTATTGCTTCCATATCTGATACTGCCTCATCCTCTTTAATTCACATTAACAAATATATTTTATTGACTTCATCTTACAAAAGCAAAGACACTACATGTAAACATGAAAAAATATTTCACAACTACTTAGATAATATTCAATAATATACAAACCTGATATATTATACATGCATGACAATTCATCCGTATAGTCTAAGCAGTCAAAATTCCTATCACACCAGTTCACTTTTGGTATTGACAATCCATCAGAGCAGTTCATTCCAGATAACCCCTTTTCGGGGAAAATGGTGTTTCCTTTGTCTAAATTTTGTTTAAATTTGATAGAAATTTTGTAATTTAGCCGAATAGAAGGACAATTAATCATTTTGAAAAATTAAATTAAAGTATTTCTGATCATCTTCGAAAAAAAGAAATGAAAGAAATTTCCTATCGGCATAGAACTATATTATTGCCGCTAAACTGAAAGTCGTAATTTATATTTTTCCTTTTTTGTGTTGCTGTAAACAAATGTTGTATATTCAAGTGAATATTATAAGTATAGTTCCGGATCGAAAAAAAAAATACTTTCTACTCTCATTATGTAATAATATATTTTGTTAGAAAAGAATCAACTCAGTTTATCTTTGTCTTTTTATGATAATCAAAACAAAAATAAATTATTTACCATTTAAAAACAAAAAGCACGGCTCCCGCAAAGATTTGACCGGGTCATTAACGTAACACCAAGGAATATCATTTGAAGGTAATTCTATACACAGAGTCGAATCGTTTAAAGAAATTCCCAAAGAAGAAAACTTCTTGTCAAAATCAACTTTAGCTTCGCCAGACAGGTTTCCCCAATTTTTACAAGTTTTACCAGAGTATGGTGAGGCAAAGAAGTCGTCTGTCCTATATACACTTGTACATTCATTCTCCTTGATATCGTCTAAAATGAATAATTATTAAATGTCATAATTGTATTACATTGAAAAGACATTAAAACATCATTTGAATTTACGATTATCTGACACGCACGAAGTGCATTACCTCCAACAAAGAGTAATCCGATAGTAGTGTGTTTTATTCTCTTACACAGTTTTGTTATAACTTTTTTCATGTAGTCATAATGATGTAAACCTAAAAAACGGATCACATATTTAACCCTAGGCACTGACATAAAACCTAACCAGTTTGAAATTTATCTTACAACTCTGCACTCGCACAACATATTCTAATGTTGGACCCAATAACAGAAGAGAGAAGAGAAAGTTTAGGTGAATATAATCATTCAGTTATCAGAAACGAAGAAATCAGTTCTTTCGTTCTCAGTAGAAGGAAGAATGTAGTTTTTTCAATAAATTTCACGAAATTAGGGTTTTTAATCCTAATGTGCGAAGTAAAACTATCAAAATATTCTACTTTCAATATATTCAATTGATATGAAACTATTGTGTTTAACAACTTTATACTTTTTAAAAAAACAAACTTCAATTCACCAGATCACCGATTTTAAATCACTTGTACAGTGGACTATGTACATGAATTTTGAAAGAGATTTTTTTCAAAAACTGTAACATTAAAACATTCTTGTTGCACTAATTTGTTAAGAGTATTTTAAATTAACGACGTGACAGTTTAATCAAAGCATTGTTTTCATATGAGAGCAAACAAGTTTAGACTTGCAAGAAGGGAAAACATATTTTGAAAATATTACAACACATGTATTCACAAAAGCAATATTACTACTTTACGGTACTAAACATTCAATTGTTTAGAATTTTATTACACTGTAATTTATTAAGTCTCTTTAGAAAAACAAGCACATTCGTTAGATTTATATCCCCGCCGAGTACTGGTTATTACTAACACACAAACTGAAGACATAAAGCTTTATTTATATATCTATCATGGCATAAACAGTAATATTCGTTGTACTTGATAAATATTCAGGACAATAACAGAGCCATAACACTGCGTTAGATAGTAATATCTTGACATGCCGATGAGATGTAAATTGCCTTTGTGTATCAATGGTTGCCATAAAGTTTTGTTGAAATCATTACAGCAGTTACAAAGAAATTGCAATATTTCCCTATATGCATACTTCATAACTAATCAAGGGCCAAAACTCTGAGTTAAAGTATCTGTCCGGAACAAGGCGACTATATGCACATCTCTTGGTATTGAAGGTTCCCATAAAGTATCGTTGAATTCCAGCCAGTAGTTACAGAGAAGTAGCACGGAAACGATTATTGCTATGGTTGCATAGGCCTACTGCGTAAATAATCAAGGGCCATAACTCTAAAGTGTCTGACCGGAACAAGGCGATGATAAACACATCTCCTCTTGGTATTGAAGGTTCCGACAAAATTTGGTTGAATTCCAGCCAGTAGTAGCAGAGAAGTAGCGCGGAAACGAAATTCGGACGGACGGATGGACGGACGGACTGACGGAAGGACGGACGTTCCAACATTTTGGCTTTAGAGGCTATTTTCTTTGTTATTTTCTTTGTTTTCTTAAGGGCTACTAGCCCTTAAACCTTTTGATCACCGAATGAATCTATTGTTCTCTTTTGTTCTCTTTACTGTTATATAGCCCCTAAACCCAAAATATTTGCTCGGACAGACGGACGGACAACGCCAAAACAATATCCCCCGATCTATCGGGGGGATAATAAATACTTAGTTGGTATGACTTGTTGAACTGATATTTAAAACAATATTATAAATTATACTTTTTGTATGAAACTCATCTTCAGAAAATGGTTTCTCGCAGATGAAAAAATCGACCAAATCATCAAAACAATCTACTGTCGACCAAAGATTGTTGGTGTTGAAAGTCTCGAATGACATATAAGTACAATCTCCAGTTGCAGGTTGTCCGCTTCCCCTACAAAATCAAAATCAATCCTCAATTTAATCATATCATATCAGCAATTGACCGAAACACAATCTGGCAATTATCATAAATATCAACTTTTGTAATAACAAACTAGCATATTAAATTACTATCAAGAGAAACTGTCACATACACACACGCACGTACACACGCACACAAAAACTCACACACGCGAGCGCGCGCACACACACACAAAACACAAGAAACAACCATCAAAATTGGGTTGAACATATTGTCTTATATGGAATTATGTCATCTTACTGTCACAGAATACTCCACATTTATATAGGACCATATATATAATCAGAAGAATTTTTTTAATCAAAATATGTCATTGATGATATAGCAAGGACAACAAACATGTCATGGTTGAGAAATGTTTACTATTTAGGGAAGAAGATGTGTAAGCGGCCGGAAAGCTCAGTCGGTAGAACCGCGGTACGGTTTTCCGAGAGTTCCGTGTTCGAATACCGGTCAGGGTGCACAGTTTTTCACCCTGTGACATTTGGCGCCCAACGGCCGACCATGACTGAATGAAGCATTTTTTCACCCAGTGACATTTGGCGCCTAACGGCGGACCATGACTGAATAAAGCTCAGTAGACATTTTCACAAAAAATCTTACGATTTATCTTAAGTTTTTCACTTACGATAATCGTAAGTTAAATCTTAAGTCATTTTCACAAAGCCACTCGTTTAACAAGTTAAAATTTTATCTTAAGATAAAAAATTCACTTACGGTAAATCTTACGACAAAAACATCCCTAGCAACGTTCATTTGATAGTGATGTGCATGCTCTATATTTGATTCCGGTTTTAAAATCAAGTAATCAAGAGCTTGAAATATCCATTGAACACAATCAAATTTCAATAAGAACACAAAAATGATTCAAACTGATATAATTTATATCTTGATTGAAGATAATTATATATATCTAAAAGATTCAGAAAGAAGGTCTACTATGTTATTAATAAATAAAAAGGTACCACTAGTATATGCTGGCAATGAAATCGAACTCACCAATTGTACAAATTATAAGTTTTCAATAATACTACAGTCTAGTTCACATTTAAGCTATTCATAACCCTCTCCATCGTGACGTCATCAAGTCATGACGTCACAAATGTATATGTTGAAAATTAATTATACCTCAATTTGTGTTATTTATAGCATACTGTTTGCTTAATATTTAGTTGTCCTCCAACTTTTTGTTTGTTTTTATTCAGTTTAGGTAAGAGATACACGATATTTTACCTTTAAGAGAGAAAAAATTACACTTACGAACGGGGAAGACCTATCGTAAAGTTACGACAGATTTTGCACTTAAGATTTTCTTAAGATTTTTTGTGAAAATGTCTGCTGAAATTCGAGGACGAATTTCAATATAGCAGGGGAGTTTGTCACATTTCAGAATTGTTCACTATTCATGGGAGAAAATGTTTTAGTGGCCGGAGACCTCAGTTTGAAGAGTTGCGGTACGGTTTTTCGAGGGTTCCGGGTTCGTGTTCCTGTCAGGCTGCACATTTTTGTCACCTGTGACTTTTGGCGCCCAACGGGGTACCGTGACTGTATAAAGCTCAGAGTTTAATTCACATGCTCTGTAACTCTGTGAAACTTGAGGACGAATTTTACTAAAGCGAGGGAGTATGTTACGCTTCAGAACTTTTCACTATTTGGGGGAGATGTGTAAGTGGCAGAATAGCTCAGTAAGTAGAGTCACGATACCGTATTCCGAGGGTTCTAGGTTCAAGTCCCGGTCAAGCTACACATTTTTCTCAACCTGTTCCCTTTTGAATTATGGAACAATTATTTAAATTGTTCACTGTTGTTAATTCACAGGTAAACAGCATTCATTTATCAAGTTGGTTAACGATTTTCATTGCAAGTGTTTGCCATTTAGCTTTTGCTTTGCTTGTCTTGGGTGAAACATTTTATAAACAGTTTGATATTTAAACTTATTTGGTTCAAAAATTGTTTTTAGTATAACAATAGATAATAACCAAGCACTGAAAGTAACGCTGAGATCATTAATCCAGTAAAAACTCTTCCTCCTTCGTTTCTCTTTAACTCGCCGTAAACCTTAAAAAATTAGAAAAAGGCATTATTTAAAAGTAAAATATAATATATTGCAATTTGATATTTAAATATAGTTATAATAAAATAATGTTTTCAAATGTTTCAATGTACAAATTTGCTATGTGTATGTGGTTAATTACTTAATATATATTTCTTTGTGGCGAAACATTTTATTTCTTTTTCATGGGCATTATAATAATAATCTTAAAAACAACTCTTTCCAGCGCCAACTATAAAATGAGTTTTTATGAAAATAATTGACAAGTTATAGTTTATTACAATTTTATTAAGTTAATGTCTTTGACATTTAACCTAATGATTTTAAACTCCAAAATAAAAGAAGACACCTAAGGTATATTCCTACCAATTGTAAATTCCTTTTTTTTCCCACTGACTGGCATTAAAAGAAATTAATTTGACCATTTTCATTATGATTCAATAGAAAGAAGTTGGTGTGAGCAAGGTGTAGACTTGAACCAATCAGTATTGATTTATGCTTCAGTTGCAGCACAACTATATGGCGTAGTATAAACCCAAGTGACGGCGAAATGATACGTACGTGGTTTACTTTTTTCAAACTTGACACTTTCTGTCATTTTAATACCCTTACATTAAAATATTGATCAAGTTCTTTATTTACAATTTGCTTCACTTTTACATTGTTAACTGAATTGTAACCACAGAAATGTTTGTTTATGGTTTTGACGTAGAACCAGATCAAAAATTCTCGGAACCTTGCTTTTGATGTCAAACTATTTTCACTTGGATTGAGCTTAAACATACTTTTGTGAATTTCAGTCACAGTTTAAAACATGAATAATCAGTACTGACAAAAGTGTGGAACCTACATTCTTAAATGTCAAACTTTACGTACAGAGGAACAATGTCAAATTCACTTTTGAATAGTATTTTCAAAACAGAAGTTAACATTTAAACAAGAGGGCCACGATGGCCCTGGATCGCTCACCTCACACAACCGCACCCAAGCAATGTCTAAAACAAGCATCATGGCCAAGATTGATGACAACTGAGTCAAACATGTGATCTATAGTGTGTTATAAAGATTTTTCCATATTTGGGCAATGTGACCCTTATTTTTGACCGGACACGACACATATTCAAACTTGACCTAGGAATCATCAAAACAACCTTCCTGACCGATTTCCAGGATATTAAGATCAAAACTGCAGCCACTAGAGTGTTAAAAAGATTTTCTATGTGACCTAGTTTTTTACCAGACATGGCCAATCGTAGCACTTGACCCAGAAATCATCAAAACAACCTTCCTGACGAATTTCCAGAATATTTGAATCAAAACTGCAGCCACTAGAGTGTAAACAAGCTTTTTCTATTTTTAGCTCCTGTGACCTAGTTTTTGACCTGAGATGACCCATCTTCGAACTTGACCCAGGATCATCAAAACAACCTTCCTGACAAATTTCCAGAATATTTGAATCAATACTGCAGCCACTAGAGTGTTTACAAGCCTTTTCTATTTTACAGCTCCTGTGACCTAGTTTTTGACCGGAGATAACTCATCTACGAACTTGACCTAGAAATCATTAAAACAGCCTTCCTGACAAATTTCCAGAATATTTGAATCAATACTGCAGCCTCTAGAATGTAAACAAGCTTTTTCTATTTTAAGCTCCTGTGACCTAGTTTTTGAACCGAGATAACCCATCTTACAACTTGATCTGTATTTCATTGAGACAAACATTCTGACAAGGTTTGATGATGATCCAATTAAAACTGTGACTGCAAGACTGTTAACAACCCAATTGTTGACGACGCACGACGACGGACGCCGGACATAGCCCCATCACTATACCACACCTTGACCACTTCGTGGTCAGGTGAGCTAAAAAGTTAAAATATTTCCAAAATGTGCGGAGCAAAGTAATAAGTGTTAAGCAAAGCACGTCGACAATTTTTTGAATATTTAAGTTTAACATCGTCAGGAGGCCAAAGTCCGGTATCATTTTGTCTGACTTCTTTGTAGATGGGCCAGATCAATTGCTTTGTATTTTGCCCTCTGCTGCAATGTAAGGTACAACTAAAATATATATGGGCGCTTGTCGGAGTGGCGCTTTTTTACATCTGAATTAATAGCTTCAATTTCCGGAGCATGTCGTGACCTACACAGTGATTTTATTTGGTTAGAGGACCTGTTACACGAAGGATAGAGTTCTTATAGTAACTTGTCAGGAGTTTTTGTGATAAGTGTCACGGAGTTCGTCGGAAAACTGTCGTATATACAAGAAAAACCCTTTTCAAAAGTCGTAATTGAATAATAAAAAAACGCTTAAACGTGTCGTAATTAAGCGCAAGAAACAAACTGGCAAGAACAAAAGTTATCATAAGAACTCTAGCATCTTCAAAGTAATCACCAGAACTCCAGGACATTTGAAAACTCGGGTGTAAATTTGTTAGCCGGGGCTATATGTTTTCAATTTTGCATTATAATTTGGTAATTTTATGTATCAGAAATAAACAGGTCAATAGGTGCGAATTGGCAAATAATTTGGAACTTTTACTCAAAACTAATAGGTTTTTTTACAAGAGGCGATGAAAAATGGCATATGCATAGGTTTTTGACACATGATACAAGATGTACAATCATTAAAAGTTAATTTAGTACCTAAAACACGCTTTTAAAAGATGAAAATTATCATTTTGACAAGTGTTTTTTGTAGTTTATACAAAAGTTATCCAACGAACTCAGTGACAGTTATCACAAGAACTCCTGACAAGTTATCAAAAGAACTCCATAACTTGTCTAAAAGTTCCTCCCCCGTGAAATTGCCGGTGTAATTGTTTGGAAAGTTGCCTTTATGTCAATTTAAGCAGTAGTAAAAGAAGCATGGCTACAAGATACAGGGATGCTATAGATAAAATACATCAACACAACAACAAAATTCCAATAAAGAAACACTTTTGCCTTCAAACGTTGAAGCTTGATACCTTAATTAATTCTGCGATGACAATTTCGTGATGGAGGGACATAAAACATGTTTGAAAGAACTGACGCACGGACGAACATAAATACGGGGATAATAAATTGAAATGCTATGTCTTTTGAGAATACTATATTCCTCGTGATATAGTAGGCTAGAGAGCCTTTCAGTGTCGTTTAAGTACATGTATTACTATTTCAGGGTGATTAAACAAATCCTTCTTCGTGGTTTTAAACATTGAATTTATTGTACACGCAAATCAAGAGGAGTATGTTGAGAATATCGTAAATTAATGATTTTAAAGTGTAAAAACTTGCTAACATGTTAAATGTCATTTACTCTAAATCACCCCTCTATGTGAAATTTCAAGCATGTAACTTCAAATCAAAATTAGAATAATGATTAAATTATTCCAAAAAACATTACATTTTTGAATAAAGATTTACCAATAAATGCTCCTGAATTAGTATGCTCATCTACTCCATGCTTTAGCATCGCACGTTGTTTATATAACTGACTTCGAAGTAAGAACTGGATGTAAGTCATTTCTTTTTTTGATGTTATAGTGACAAGATGTTCATTGCGCTCAAGGCAATTATTGGGCGGGCATTTTTCCCATAAAAATTTTTTTTTCAGATGATAGGAGTAGCATTTTTTTTAAAAACCCTTGACAAACTAAGATAAAAAACAGTTAGAATTATTTTTTTTTTGGAAAAATAATATGCATAAACGTTTTTGGAAAATTTTTAATTTTTACCTGTTAAAAAAGTTTACATTAAACATCGTACTCACTTAATTTTAAAAAATTTTTAGAATTTTTTTTAAAAAAAAATTTTTTCATTAAATCATTTTCCCCATAAAGTTAATTTTTCAAAATTTTAATTTAGTTTTTTTGCCCAAAAACAGAAAAATTTTGCATTCGTCACATTAAAATCAATTTTTTTAAAAATATTTCGTTTACAGTTAAAACATTGTTCGTTGCTTCATATTTGCTAAAATATTGAATATGTACCTGCTAAATCTGTTGAATCAATTCTCTTCACCTCAGTAGTATACTTTACAAACGGATGCTCTGATATTTTATATTGCAGCCGAAATCCTTCAATGTCCTCTACTCTTTTGCCAATATAACTTATTTTTTCATCTCTAACAGGTTTGTAATGCAAATGAATCTTTGAACCTGTTGATTTGTATGTCTGTGGCGGTTGATACGTAGAGCAAATGTAGGCGTTTTCACCACGGTCTTCTATCCAGAAGTTTGATTTTATTTCTGTAAAATTTCCTTTTTTAATGCAATAAAATACTATATTATAGATTATTTTGTTTTGACTGGTTTAACGGCGAACCAACACCACTTAGGTCATATCGCGCCAAAACAGGAAGCATAATTTTGGCAAACGTCGGTAGTTACAAACTTTAAGCAACACCAGGCCTGGGGTCAAAGTCACCTCACCTGCTGGAGCTAGGAGTTGCAAAGACTCAAGGAAACCCATTTACAATCAGACATGGATAAACTGTGGCTACAATTCTGATGCATTTAAATACACTTAAAGACAGCCCCTTAAACGTAAACTTTTCTTTACCTTATGAAACTGATGTTAATCATTAACAAGGAAGGGCCCACGATAATGTTGTAAAAACTTTTGGCCCAACCCTTACGTGTAATTTTGTTGATGTAAATGAATTGCTGTATATACATTTACTGAGAATGAAATTCTTCTATATTCATGTTTGCAAAGTTAATAAATTTATTATCCCCCTTGTGGTTGAGGCGTGCCTTTATTTAATAATATTTATATTTTTTGCATATATTATTGTACAAGTACGGCTGATAAAAATTAAAATCCGTGAGTCTGTACAAAAAGGTGTATGTGAACAATCTCTACATCTCAATATTTTGAATTATTATACTTAATATTTCTTTCAATGTAAAACTCACATAGGCCTGTAATGTGTTCTAATTGAATATTACTCCTAGGATAAATTCTTCGGGGAATATTTCTTATATCACCTGGGGCACATAACTCTTGCAAATTAACTCTATGTTAAGCATTTTGTAAAGTTTCACTAGACTTTGTTACAATACCTTTCGGTATAATAAGTTAATTACACATGGGTGATAGAGGATATTGCCAACCTTTGAACTGGCATATTACCAGTCTTCGGGTTGACAATATCCTCTATCACCCGACAGCAATTTGTTATTTATAAAGTATTGAATCTGCTGATAATAAATAAATTAATGCTTATTTAGTACCCAAGGCATCTGCCATAAGCAGATATAATTATATAAAACAATTCGGGTACAGGAAAAAAAAGATTACATTAATTTTAAGCATCTTCAGTTGCTTCCTGGTATACTTATAAAACTGTTTCAAAGCAGGTTAATTAGAAATAGGAAACAGTGGTTTATATTATGGAGTGACTATACATTGTTAAATCAATTACTGAATTCTATTGCACGAATTCAATGCTGTCAGAATATGAAGCTAAATATAAACAAGGACGATTGGCATTCAATGAACTCATCCAAAACACAGCATTGAAACAAAGGACCACCGGCAGAAGCGGAACAGGACACAGCATAAAACAGACGAGGACACAAGGGCAAACTACTGACGGCGTGTTATAATAAATAGTTCAAAATAGGTAATCATAGAAATCACAATTAAGATTATTGATTCAAAGGTCAACACAATGACAATAACGTAGGTGAAGGGACCAGAGGGCCAGGGGAGAGAGTTTGGTGGGACAGAATTGAATAACAAGAGGGCCATGACCGCCCTAGATTGCTCACTTGATCCATCGAACTCATCCACAGTTACCTAGACACACATTCTGACCAAGTTACATGACAAATGAGTCAAAAATGTGACCACTAGAGTGTTAACAAGGATTATCCATATTTAAAAAGTTTGATGATGATTGAGGCAAACATGTGACCAGTAGAGTGTTAACAAGGTTTTTCTATTTCTAGCTCTTTTTTGGAGATGGCCCATGTTCGAACTCATCCGAGCTATCAACTAGATAAGTTTCCTGACAAAGTTTGATGATGATTGAGGCAAACATGTGACCGCAAGAGTGTTTACGAACAATTGTGGACGGACGACGGACAATCAACGATCCTAAAAGCTCACCATGAGCTAGCTCGGGTGAGCTAAAAAATTAGGGAAAAGGGAATGAAACTTACTTAAAACAAAAAGGGACAAAAATCATCACATATAGCAATATACAAGAAGTACATCTAAGGAACATAGGCGGCGTGTTGAACTGCTTAATGGTGCACCAAACCTTTTTAAACCAATGTGTTTCTGTAGTAAATTAAATAAAATGAATCCCAACCGAGCAAAACATTTATTATGGTGATTATAGTAACACAATTGTCACAATTAGGTAATAGGCTATAAATAGGACGATCACAATCATTAAGAAACAGGCTCTTTTTGTTTAAGCGACGACATGTAAAAGCCAGGCTTGATTGTAAAAACATTTACGCTTAATACCCAGCGATTCATGTGACTCAAAGTCTCAATATTCATAGAGTTATCGTTTTATAATGTTAAAGACCCCTGGTTTAGGTGCCGATGCACAGAAGTCAATGTCCCAGTGACCTTAAATGAGAGAGACAGACAGACAGATAGACAGACAGAGTGAGAGTGAACCGTTACAGCAAGCACAAATTTCACCATGACATAATGTTTAGCATAATGTTGGTCAATTTTGAGTTCAAAGATCAATGAATACGTTGTCAAAATTAACAAAGTTAACAAAATAAAACAAAACGTTTTCCTCCAAACTTAATCTTCCTGTGTATGTTTCGAAACAAAATATCTTCATGTAAAAAATAGTAAAATCGAAAATATTAATAAAAATAAATTTGTCAAATGTTTCTTTAGGCCACCTCAGCATCTGCGATGCGGTGGCATATAGCGATTCACATGTGTGTGTTTGGTGTGTGTGTGGGTGTGTGCGTGTGTCTGCGCGTGCGTGTGCGTGTGTATGTGTTATAGATTATATAGTGAACTTAAAAAATCTACTTGTGAAAAACAACTAGTTCTATTTCAACCTAACTTTGCAGGATTGATCATGGGTGAAGGGCTTCCAAAGTTTTTCAAAGCATTTTATTCCGTGCAGAAATCTGGTTGGCATGGCAACTAAAAGAACTTTAAAGAATAAATTTAAAAAAAAAATATTCTTGTTAAAGACCCACAAGGCCTAGAGCATAGATATTTTGCATAAGGCATTGTCTGGTAGACCTCTAACAATATTGTTCAAATTATAGCCCTTTGATCAAAATTTGCCCCGCCCAGAGAGTCATTGATTTCACTATACAGTATGTACATATAGTAAAAACTTAAAATACCTTCTTGTCTGAACGTACAAGGCTTAGAGTTTTGATATTTGGTTTATGATATTATCTATAGATACTCTACCCAAATTGTTTAAATTTTGCCTGTTACATCAAAATTAGCCCCTCCCCCGGGTTCATAGGTTTTCCTTTTATGTATATAGTAAAAACTTAAAAATCATCTTCTCGAAATTGACAAAGGCTAGTCAAAAGATAAGACATTTTGCATGAAACATTGTGTAGTGAACACTACCAAGATTGTTAAAATTATAGCCCTGGGATCAAAATTGGCCCGCCCCGGTGGTCATTGAATTTCACTATATACATATAGTAAAAATGAAAAATCTTATTTGTCTAAAGGTACAAGGCTGAGAGCTTTGATATTTAGTATATGTTATCATCTATAGGTACTCTACCAAATTTGTTCAAACTTTTTCTAGCATCAAAATTAGCCCCGCCCCTGGGGTGATAGGTTTTCTTATATGTATATAGTAAAAATCATCTTCTCTAAATTGACGAACTTAAGACTACAGGTTAGATATTTTGCATTAACCATTGTGTAGTGATCCTCTGTTCAAATTATAGCCCTGGGGTAAAATTTGGCCCCGCCCAGGGAGTCATTGGTTTTCATTCACTTTGTACATATAGAAAAAAAATCTTCTTGTATAAAGGCACAAGGCTAAGAGCTTTGATATTTTGTATATAATATCATCTAAGGGTCCTTTGCCAAAGTTGTTTAAATTATGCTCCTAGTGTTAAAATTGTCCTGCCCCAGAGGCGATAGTTTTCCTAATATGTAAATAGTAAAAACTTGAACTGAACTAACAGAGGCTATAGGTTAGATATTTGGCATAATACTTTGTGTAGTTAACCTCTACTAAGACTGTTCAAATTATAGCCCTGATGTCAAAATTTGGCCCTCCTCGGGGTCATTGATTATCACTATGTACATATAGTGAAAAATTAAAAATCTTCTTGTCTGAAGGAATAAGGCTTAGATCTTTGATGTTTGCTTTATCATATCAGCTATAGGTCCTCTACCAAAGTTGTACAAATTTTGCCCTTGGTGTCAAACTTGGCCCTGCCCAGGGGCATTGATATTCATTATGTTCTAATAGTAAAATCAGATACTAAAACAAATGTATTCAGAATTGGAGAAACCTACAGTATAGAAATTTGACATAAAATGTAATTCGGTGGACCTGTATCAAGATTGTTGTATTAAACCCTTGGGTTAAAAGTTTGCCTTGCCCAAGGGGACAGTAACCTTCTTTCTTGTCATTTGATGTACAGCCATGAAATTTGGACAATGTTCACAGTTTAACTTTTAAAATTAAAACTTTGATATGAAGTGACCCATATTATGATGATGTGGCCTACTTTCTCGTCCTTTGATGTGCAGCTATGAAATTTGAATCATGTGCACTGATTCAGATGTTAAATCAACTTTGATATCAACTGGCCTAGATTTTTTACAAATTGTCTTACTGTGTTGACCTTTGATGTACAGTTTTTAAATTTTGGCCAAGTAAAATATGACCCTCACCACCAAATGCATTAGACTCAATTGCATTGATAGATTTCTACTCTGATCTTTTATTTGAATAATAATAAATTTAACCACTAATCTGATAAGAAGAATAAGATAGGTCAGTATTCTATGCATTATGACAATCTTCAATTGTATCGAAACAAAAAAATAAATTATGCTCCTACATTACTATTTAGTGTTGTATTAATGCGATGGCATAGCATTTTTCACAAATGCATTCTTGTTTTTATCTTAACTCTGATAGAAGAGAATGGTAGTAAAATGAATGTTGAATAGAAAGTAAAACAATCGATACAGATAAAAGCCACCAAAAATGCGACTGGCTTGCATAAATTCCATCGTTAATCGTAAAACTCGTTACATTACTGTG